CATATACATATATATACATATACATATATATATATACATATATATATATATATATATATTTATATATATATACATATATATATATAACATATATATATATGTATACATATATATATATGTATATATATATATATGTATAAATACATATATATATGTATATATACATTTATATATATATATATATATATATATCCGATGTAGATGGTTTCACGTATGTCTCACAGAAATATATAAATATAAGAAAGTACGAAAATGATACGTTGACATAATAGAGACATCAAATTAATTCAAAACGAATATTTTGGACACTCCTGTGTCTTATACCTGTAACGCTGAGGAAGGACACAGGCATGTCCGAAATATTCTTTTCGATTAAATTGTATCAAATCAAATCAAAATCAAATCAAATCAAACTTTATTTGTCCATTAAAACACAGGTAAAATGGAAATTCTTTTTCCACTGGCAAAGAATATGAAACATCAAAAAAACATTGTAAAAACATTAAAACACACCAGAAGGACAACATATATGTCTATTATGTCAACGTATGCAATCGTTTAATTTTTCTATTCGTTATATTTATTATATATTTTTTATATAATATATACACATATATAATTGAACAGTAGTAATGGCTATTTTGATTTATATTATGGTTTTACTTTTAGGTGATGTTGAACAGGTGATGTGTTTTTCGGAGGATTTTCAAGTCAATAGCTCCACTATTGACTTAGAAAAGACGCCAACAATTGATACGTTTGTTTTAATTTTGGATGATGTTGAAAGCACTGCCTTATCGAGTTCGTCGTCAGCTAAGGATATTGAAGATGCATTAGTGGAGGTGTTCAGTGTTCAATGTCAAATGTCAGGTCCAACTGGTGACTATACAAATGACTACGAGGGAGAGTTAATAGGCTATGAATCTGGAGTACGTGTATTAGACGTTGAACCATTCTGTGGACGATTTTCTCTGAAAAACCCAAAAGATATTTATAGATCAGGAGAAACAAAGTCATCAGATGGAGTGACTCTTGGCGCATTTGATGCTAAATCAAATGGGAAGGTAAGTGAATCTTTAGTATACAAATAATGAATGTTTATGAGTGCAATGGAAAGAATATTTTCATTCGTTGAAAGATTGACTGTTCCATTCAATGAGGCGGAGCCGAGTTGAATGGAACAGTCAATCTGTCAACGAATGAAAATATTCTTTCCATTGTATGAATACAGTACAAACCATTCATTATTTGTTTTATCACACACATAAATAGGTCGGTTCAGGCTAGCTAGCCTAGCCTGGCCTGATCTATCCTTCGCGCAAAACCTAGTTAGGCCTAGATTAGATTTTACCGCATTCCTAACGATTTTCTGAGCAAATTTAAGCTAGTTTTTGAGGTCTCTTCCACACAATTAAAATATTTTCAGTAAATAAAATCTCAGATACATTGCACAACGCTGAAGTTAAGACAAGCTGAGCGTAGGATTATAGGAACCCACAGAGCGACAACTAAAAAGAGAGAATAAATTAAGGGATATGATTATATGGAGAGTGGGGGGGGGGCGTTCCTGGATTTAACCTTCCGGAAAAAGTAAGTCGGTAACGTGTAACATACGATTCGGATGGCAAAAAAACTGTACGATGTAACAAAATTTCAACGGTGAACGATGAAATGGGCAAAATAACTAATGTCACGTGGTACAAAATCAACCAATCAAATGACTGGGATCTATACTTTAGTTGTGTTATAATACTGTATATATAATGTTCAAATGCTACTGATTTCGACGGAACGGTGATTAAGGGTTTCCTCAATCCATCTATTATTTAATTGCTTGTAGGATAGTGAATTATGATTCAATGATTGAATTGAGAGGTGGATGAGAGTATGTACTTGACATTTATTCAGTCCCAAAATGAACATAAGCATCTCTGAAAAGTAACTCCTTACTAACCTAAGTGGATAATGTTAATAATTATACTTGAACGTTTGGGATTGAATCCTGCATATTACTCGAAATCACCTTGACTTGACACAAGGCACGAGATATAGATTATGTTTGAAGTAATATTGTTCGTGCGTAATTCTGACATGTTTGAATATTGTAGGTTTGTTTATCTTATCGTGGAGCCCTTTCCAAAAGCGTAGTGTTCACTATTCAATGGACGCATCAAGAGGAAGGTGATTTGACCAGCGAACGCGTTTACCAGATTAATGAATTGCGCGACACCAACAGGTAGGATCAGACAAGAAATTAATAATTGTTTTAACACAGATTTGAAGCAGCTCACTTACAGTTATAGTTACAGTTATACTGTAATTTCATTCTAACAACAAATTTGTACTAATTTAGCATATGGTTTTCAGCTATCTAAAAGTCATAAATCGAAAAAGAAATGTGTTTTAATGACTTACGGACGTTCTACTATGAGAATATTTAATTTCATTGCCAGGGTTTACTCCACAACATAAACTGAAATACGTGACATTACAAAATCTGAAAGGTCCACTGATTACTCTCAGATAAGAAAGTATAATGCATACTCAAAGAACTGAAATACACACCATTATGTTGGAATTTAATATTTTGACATTAATTATGTCAACATCAGCAAATGATAATGACACAATTAAAAGAAAATATTGAATTCCAATATAATGGCATGCATTTCAATCTATTAAGGCTATAATAATAACAGTATATTTATGTTCTAAATGTTAATTTCGGAAGTGTTATTTCTCGAATTTGTACTTGAACAAAATTTTTTTTAAATGCCAACCCGACTTTTTGGAAAATTTCTGTCGGTCGCAGAGGGCAACACGAGATTTTTTTTTTTTGGCCTTATTAAGGAATATAGGCATTAATACTACGTAAACACAATGACACGTACATTATAATACTATAAATTGCTAAGGCTGTTGGGATGGTATAATTTAAACGTGTTTATTATTATATTTTATTTTTTATTTTACTTCTTAGGCCTATTTAATTAGCGATATATACATTATGTACGGTATTAAATTCGCAACATTATTGACACTATCAGTTTGCTTTTATCTATAATATACTGACAATTGTTACATTTTAGCTGGCGTTATACTTGCTTTGACATCAACAACTACATACTTGGAGACGATGAACTACTCTATAATAGTCGTCCAGGATCATCTTGGAATGTTAAAATCATTAGGTTGTCCAACACTGGTGGTGATTTCTACATTGACAATTTGAATATCGGTGCCAGCATTATACGTTGTAAGATCAAAGTGTCATCATGTTCAAATGTTAAATGCTTATTTCTTCAAAAGGAATAAGTCCGACAAAGTATTTAGTACTGTAATATACCATGAAGAAAAGAAAAGGAGCTACTTTTCATTTCTCCCTGATTATAGATTGAATGTGTTCTTATAGAACACTAAATGATAATTATCTTACATACTCCATGAATTCCGTAATTGTATTGTTAACATATAACTGCTAACTACAATTAGTCTACAATACTGAGTAACTAAACATTACCAATAAATAATTGACAATATCGAATTACAGTACTTTAAAAATTATATTAAGTAAATTGTTATTATTGCAGTTTATTATAGATTTACTATATATATATATGTTAAATAGTGATTAAATAAAAACCTGGAACTTATCAGACGACTCCCTTTGGATTAGTCAACAGTCAGGCGGCGACAAATGTTGCGCAGTACCCGGGCCCCAAGTCCTATATAACTGAAAAAGGAATCCTCCTTTGCATCATACGACAGCCACACAATATCACGCAACACAAAATCAACAGTCTGCTAAATGTTTGTGATACCACAATTCCATTTTAATAACGATAAAAATATATCGAAGTGAAGTTGAATAGCTCAGCGGTTATGGTGCTTGCCTCTGATCCCAAGGTCCTGGGTTCAATTCCTGTCACGACAGGAATTGAACGACAGGACTTTTACACTCCCTAAACCTCATAAAGACACTTCACTAATAAAAGCATCACATTATTTCATTTATTTAAGAGGGCCCCTGAATATCAGCCGACCTTGTTGGATACGCTGGAAGGGTCACCCTCTATAAATATGGTTTGTTTTTTTTAAATCGATACTGGACAGCCGCAACATTCTCAGTTTAGCAGTCTTATAGGCTATCAATGCTGACCCCTGAAAGCTAAATTTACTAACAAGACTCAAGACTTAATTAATGGCAAACGTACATTTAGATGATGCATATGAATTTAAATAATGCATGAAAGTACAAATATGACAACTATAGTTGTTATGGACACTTATAGTCCACCGCATCGTAAAATAACAATTATTATTTACATAACTACATATCAAGTACACCAATTATTTTTGGATGCCCAAGGTCCGAAGGCCCATCTACAAGATGGGTGCGCACCCAAACTTTTCGATTCAAAGAGAGATTCTCTATCTTCCTTGATCGCTTCCAAGGGGCGGATCCAGTAGGGGGCACGGGGGAACGTGCCCCCGTTTTGCCACTAAATTTTAAAAACTTCAATTCAAATCAATGTTATGTGGTACTAACTTACCTATTCTGAAACTGTTGTGCCCCCACCCTCACCGTCTGAAAAATTCTGGATCCGCCCTTGACCCCTCTTTCAAGCCAATTGACCTCTTTATTAAGGATACATCTGATGCATATGTATAAATGCCAATTCATGCGCTTCACTTGCACTAGGTCTGCGACGTTGGGTGACTCTTGCATATAGGCCTAGAGCTTACTGCGTGTCTTCTATATGGATCGATCCATTCACAGTGATTACGGTACTCTGTAGACGCCATAGCAGGGGATTAGTTAGGGAACTCTTACGCATCATCTGCTGCTAAATGTAACTATCGAAAACATATTACGTTTTGTTAATACTTCGCACCACCATAATATATGGACATGAAATTCACACGGGGGACTTCAAGGAAAAAGGAAATCCTCAGCAATAGCAGAGCCACTAGAGAGCACCCTTTTCTAATTGCATTTGTCTATACGTTTCAGTGAAACTGGTGACAAGCACTTAATATCATATACCACACGAGAATTTTTTCTCTTTTGGTGTTTTGTCTTTGACTTTTGCAAGTTTCCCTCGAAAGGTATTAATGGCTAGATTGAATGTTAATATTGCGTAGTGATTTCTTAACTTTCTCTGAAAATCTTTGGCCTTTTTGTCCACTGAACAACATTTTTCCAATGCGTTCCTGATGTTATATAAAGGAAATCAAGCTGGCAATCAGATTTGTCTTGGGCAAACTAAAATTGTTACATTAAAAGTGTTTATGAAATTTTTAAAAACGGTACTTCTTTATACATTTAAAGGATAACGTAAGTATCTTCTACCCGTAGTCGTGGTGGTTTTCCTTTGTTGGCTTCATAAATATGCTACTCGAAATTCTCCATTATACAGATTCATAATTAGGCCTATAGGATATATCGGTGATAGTATAGCGCGTTAATGATTTTGGATGAAGAAACTTCCGTTATTAGAGAGGTATTTAGTATTTGAACACAGTTCAAGTAAACTAATAATGGTTTGAACAACAGAAGATTCGTTCTTTCGTTGAGCGTATTCCTATATAAACAGTACACTCGATTTGACGATATGGTTTCAGTATTACTTTATTATATAACGTTATGTTTGTTTTTTTTTTGTTTTTTTTTTTTGTTTTTTTTAACGAAACCAATAATATTCTTCAAAATATGTGGTTATTTACTAATGGTTTAAGTATTTATGCTGCAAATTTGTCTAGTTTTATGTAATAGAACCAATTCTGTTTACAATGATTTTAGCAGAAATAAGATCAGGATTGCAAATTTTCGGTAATCCGTAAAAGGCAAATATTTGAGGTTCAGAATATGTGAGAAGGCTTATCGTTGGTGGCGGTGTGGCATATGTGATAATGGAACTAGCCTGGTGCTTGATTCCTCTTCCCACCTCCGGTATTTTTATTGTTGTTAGCTTAATGGCTCTTTACATTAGATGATAGTTTTAAGCTAACCGGGGTAACATGCTGGGGAGACATCGGAAGTTAAGGCTCACCGTTTTCTTTAGATCTCTCAATATTTAAATGTACTGCATTCACATCCATGGTTTTAATCAAGAAGATGTTCAGTGGGGGCTGGACAAACGTCACTAAACGTTATTATTAAGTTCCATTTCCTTATTGTTCAATCACCATTTAACATGATCAAGTATCTACTTTATGAATATGAACGATTAACATTCACTTATTTATTGATAACAAATTATTGACAATTTTATAGACTAATTATTAAACCGGTATTAAAACGAATTACTAATTGTTAATTACCAATAGTAGCATAATTATCATCAATTTATTTCAGATATACCCACTCGCACGGCTGCTCGACCGAATAATATATTTGTTACCGAAGTGTCAGTTGCCAAAAACGAGGAAGATAACAGCTTTAATATCACACTTCTTGCGGCAAATTGTGCCTACGGCTTTCCTCTTCTCATAGTTAAAGATGCGAACATCACAAGCGGATCGACTGGTAAAGAGAGTGACTATGTTAGGTACAGTAGCCAGGATTGGGATGAGGGTACCACTATAGCTATTGGTAGATTCACAGCAGCCTCAAAGCCTGTTTCTGGAAGTTTCATTATGGAATGGAAAGGCAAAGCTGCTGGTAAGACTTGGTATAAATTGTTTTTTTTTTTTATTCGGCTTTTCACTGAAATCATATAGATACATTAAATAATCCAGTTTTATATATATCAAAATCAAAATGTACTTATTTTATGAAAAGTTATGTAATCAGAAAAAATGGGATTTGTATCGTCCATAATAGACATTTACATTTGCATAAAGTATTCAATGAAATTATTAGAACCATGTCAATACTTTAAGTATGTGAATCTTTATAAATGGTCTGATTTTAGATTGTCCTAAAAATATGAGTTTTATGGTATTAAACACAACAAATTGACCAACCAGGCCAAAACCTCAATTTAAATATATAATGCTTTAGATATCTGCATCTCAAACGAAGAAGAAACATTCATCTCCGAGTCATCTTTGGAGAACACGAATGTTCTACAAATGACACTAGAAAGGTGTTGGACGAAATACTCGAGAACCATTAGTAAGATACATATTTTGAGTATAACAAAAATGGGGAAAGGGAGTGGTCACACCCCTATACACCCAGTTCTTAAATATTCAAAAATCTTTATCTGATAACCGCTCCTGAGTGTTTCTTTAAACATCCTTTCAGTTTCGTATGAAATTCATATGTTCAACAAATCATTTTGTTCTCCAGAGCCTGGCTTTATTAACTGCCCAGTGTTAGTTATCATTGCTCTTCTCATGTAAATGACTCAATGCCGTAGCCAGCTTTTGGGACATTTGGGACAATTTTTCTAATGGGTCCAAAAGAATGGGCCCATATTCTAAAAAATGGGTCCAAATTATGTAATTTTATAAACAAAATGGGTCCACTTTTTGAAAAATGTGTCTCATTTAGCTTAAAATGGATAAAACTTTAGAAAATGGGTCCAGATTTTTCATATTTATGCGCAAAATTGATCCAGATTGTTTGAATTTACGCTTAAAGTGGGTCGACCCTAATATTGTCCCGCACTGTTTGAAAATCCTAGCTACGGCATTGAAATGACTATGAATACGTTTTTCTGGAGTTTTTTTGGTTTTTTTTTTTGTTTTTTTTTTTTGCTTTTGCATATGAAATACGTTTCTTATATTAATAATAGAACTGTATGAATATGATTTTGTACTGAAATAAGAATGTTCAAATTCTGCAGTGGCACAAGTGACTTGTTCAGCTCAGCAGATGAAAGAACTACTTGAGGGATATTTAAACACAGGCTTAGTGACTGTTGAAAAAGCATCGACATGCTCATCTGCAAGTTGGAACATCGAATGGGCTGAAATCGGTGGAAACCATCCACTTATAGAGGTAATGATATGGTCATACACTTTTAGCTTTATAAAGGTAAGGTAGCACTCTAGCAGTGATTGAGCCTTGCTAAGAAGATACACAAAATATACTACATTGTAGTAAATTATAAAGGTAAATCACCTTTTAATAGACGTGTATTTATTATTGACAATGCTACGTATTATTTCCTATCTAGCATTAACAAATAGCGATTTTATCATATTAGGCGTATAATGATGATTATAATATATGTTTAGCTTTATAAAGGTAAGATAGCAGATGTTTAGAAATGAAAATAATAATGATGAAAAATTACAAACAGCAGTGTAGACATAGTATCAACATGCATTTAAAGTAGACCTATTATGTAAGTTTGAACTTAAAAATAGTGTTAATAATTTCATCAATTTTATAAAATCAATCTCTGTTAGGTTAACGGCACTAACTTAGAAGGAGATGATGTAGCTGTAAGAGGCTCGACAGACGTTGACGGGGCACTTCTACTTGCTCCAATTCCCGGTGACTATTTGAGAACTCCACACACACTGCCACAGGTAGGCGAGTATATCAACTGTTGACAAATGTGTAGTTGATTAGTTGATCTCCTCCAAACTAAAGCTGCCTGCACACAGAAAAATAATGTGTGTTAATGTACATGTGCAGGCAATTTTGTCTACAAATTGTGATAAGTGTAATGTGTATGATGTTCCGTTATGCTGTATTTCGATTTGTCTTTCTGGAGAAGACTTCACTGCCATGCATTTAGACATACCATTAAAACCTTCTTGTTTGCTTTTTTCACAACCAAATGTACGATGCTAGTCACAACAATCCGAAATATTTTTCTATCCAAGTGAAAATAACTTAATAAATGGATTCTCTCACTATAGTAGGGTTTTTTTCTCTATCTCCCTGCCTTATGTGACAAAAAATCGATTTATATTTATAACAGCACAGTTTACAATGCTTGGATATACATTTACTACATTTATAACTATTTTTTAGGCTTAGAAATGCAGTAGAGAAATTAGGTTTTAGTTCGCTGCTATATTAGTGTAATCTATTATTTATTACCGGTATCTATTTAATTTGCTTAAAAAACATTACTGTTACTGTTACTTACTGTTACTAGCTGATGCATCTGTTGTAATTATCATTTCTGTGTACTCTGAGTATTCAAATAAATGCTCTAAATATTTTAAATAGCAAATAAAATGGAGATTATTCCTGCAGAATTGTTTATACCTTGTTTAGCAATCCATTATTTTATTATTAATCGCCAACGATATATTGTTTAAAAGAAATTATTATAAGGTAGTAGGACAGTGTATTACAATACCTTGTATTTTTTTTTTTAGGTTGCAGTCACTATTAATGGTGTAATTTCAAGTTGTGGAGATGGTAACTGTACATTTGCCTATAGTTCGGAATACACTCCTCTAATCACAAACGTAGATACCCACACAGGTAAATTGTCATACAATTCATTAAAAAAAATAATAATTTGCTTGATGAATAAGTCACTAAATGTTCTTTATTATGTTGTTGTTTAGGTTCTGAAGCAGAGAAGACAACAATTACAATTACTGGTACCGGGTTCAGCTCCGTTGCGACTGATAATATTGTTGAGATTGGCGATATTGGTTGTAAGGTTGTAACTTGTACTGACACAAAGATAGTATGCATTGTTCAAAATGGAAAAGCTGGTGCTTATGACATCAAAGTGAATGTTATACCGTTTGGATATGCAGCAACTTATGATAGTAAACTATTTCTTTACTTTATATTCATACCAAACACTTCGTTTACTGGCTGGAAATTTACGGCAATAATATAGAACGGATGTTCAATTATTTACTTTTAAGACCAGTTTCAAATTATATTTCTTGGTAGGAAATTATACTTTAATCACCTCGAGGTAATTCATGTTCATGGTAGTGATGACACCTTTCTCCTTCCCTTGTTCGGGCATGTTCATAAATTAAATTTTAGTTTATTGTGTCATAAAAGCACCTTGAGACGGTTTTAACTGTGGAAGGTGCAATATAAATACACGATCATTGACCATCGCTATTTTGATAGGATGTTAAGACGTTCGCTCATTGTACATAGACCTAATTATGTGTATGCCCTACGTGGGAAATATTGTATACACTATTGGTTAAAAGCAATTTATTTTCTTGGAGTCTAAATTATATACAAGTAAAAGTTATATGCCAGTAAATATAAGCAGTAAACTGTATTCGTGATTGACATTCGTAAAGGTAAGGTAAGTTTAAAACAGTATACGTTATTGGTGTTAATGAAGGTAAGAATTACTATATAATATTGTTAAATAATATTAACGTTTTGGTGTAAAAAACACTTTTTTGGTTTTGTAGGACAATAAAAAAAAATATAAAACCACTAATTAGTTTCAAATATAATTAACTCCGAAAACAGACACAATTATTTTGATATTCATGATCTAAAGAATTACTTGTTTATTCCAACTAAACTTTTCTGATATAACCAAAGCACATCGTTAACAACACGGATGTCATTATAACTTTTTGTGTTTTGCTTAATAGAATAAATATATTCACTATTAAAAGTAATGAATAGAGGAACCGAACAAATAAAAGAAAAAAACTGACAAATAACAATTCATAATTAAGCGACGATTCAATCATAATCATACATTTAATCTTTAATGCTTTCAACTCAAGTTAATTTTAAAGCTCCCCATCTGTAATTGTATACTTACCTGCTATTTAGGATTGAAAATTTGCGGAAGCTCAGTTGAGAATGTTTACGTAACTAAATTCGTAGCTTCACATTTCCATTTGA